GGGAAGGGGGTGAGCGAAGGGAAGGGGGTGAGCGAAGGGAAGGGGGTGAGCGAAGGGACACGACTAGCGGGGTCGGTCGGTCCCTGGCGGGGCTGCAGCGGCCCCCTCGGCCCGGCCGCTGCGCGCGGCTGCCGCCCGGCACTTTCAAGAAGCGCGCGCTCAGGGCGGTGGCCCCGCCCCCGGCGCGCGGAGACTACGAGCCCCAGCGTGCCCCGCGCGGGAGAGGGACGCCATTACGGCGCGAGCTCCACCCCCCTGTGGGCGGTGTCTGTGCGCTCCGGGAGCGGAGCGGAGTGTCCGGGGTGTGCTTGGGAGCCGTGGCCACCCTGAGCCGAGAATCTGCGGATGGAAATTTGAGATAGGTGCCCAAGATGAGTGCACTGAAGTACCTCTAGAACTGCTTCTTTCTCAACACTGACTAAAGGGAGGAAATGGGATCGCTATGTCTGATGTGAACTACTAACCTTTACACAGCCAAGTAAAGCAAAATTAGTCTTCTCTATGCACTACAATGGACAAGGATATCTTACAGATTTTTACTAAACTTCCATACAGTGCCTGGTGGTGCTGCAATTAACTTCATGGGATAGATTAAAATACTCAGAATGAAAACCAGCACTTGTGCAGAAGCTCACAACTAGAGCATCAGCTATGGTGACATTAGTAGATCATGAGTCTCGTTTATACCAGTTTTTCCAAAATTTCGGTGAACTCCTCATTACTGCTAATATATTGTCTTCGCTGCTTAAACATTTGATCAGTTTTATTTCACGAAGTTGATTTGGAAGTTTAGTTGGACTATTTAATCAGTTTCTTAGAAAGGAAATTTGATTTTTCTCTGATAGGTAGCAGTATTACATTCACTGTACCCTTTATGTTTCTTTTATTGAAATTTCTGTTTATGGACAATATATTATCACAGCTTTTTCTAACTTATCTAAGAAGCCAGGCTTTACTACCATGAGTAAACTCGTGAACGCTCTCGTACACACTTGAGAGAAGTCTAGAGGAAGACATCCTTAAAACCATATTTAGTAGCAAAGGAAATGTTTTTAAAAGCTCCTCATTTATCAGAAAAATATTGTATCAATAGTGTTAATAAAATTAATAAAAACCTGGTATATCGAGTTAATATTGCAACTGCCATCTTTTTCAGTCATGCCAGGCCAAGAGCACAAGTTCTATGAGCAGCATCCCACTTACCAACTAATTCTCTTAAACTATTAATGCCTCTGACAGGTACAGAAGAGAGCAGAAGGAAATCCATATTAATTTCCTGCATCAGAATCCCACGTAATCTCATTAGTCTGGTCACAGTTCTTATCTCTTCGCTACTGAATGAACACAGCTCTTAGATTCATTTTCCAGGCAAGAGATCTGTGAGGGTAATTCCGGTATTCCCTTCCTGTGCAAACTTACTGCTTCAGGAAGGTCTGTGCCCACCAGCTTCTTCATGACAATAAGGTAGTAAAGGAGTCACAGCTCTGCCAAATCATACTTTGTCAAGCTCATTGAGCTCAGCTTAGCATGCTTGACTGAAGGTGCCAAGATTTTCTGACACTGTCTTTGGTCCTGGGTTTTTGCAGTAAAGGCAAAGAACCACTAATCCACGTGTGACAGTGAACGTCAAAACCAAGCTGCTCGTGAGTGACCCTGTGGAAATGAGTGGAGGCATAATTTTTGTGATCTCCTCCCATCTTACTGCCAGTGGAAACGTACTCTCTGCTATCACGATGTGTTGCCAGTGTTTGGATTTGGTTATCTGCTGATTATATTAGCTATTCTGAGCTTACCTTTGGTGTGGCTGTGCTGCTTGTGGCAATTTTTTTTGGTCTCTAGAAACATATGTCAGTATAGAGAACAAAAGCATGGTAAGCTCTAGTGTACCAGTGCATATCTTTTTTCCGTTTTTGTGATCTTTCGTTTTGAAATATTACATCCGGGGGCAGGTGAAACCTCTGTTCCAGGTGGCTGCAGGGCTCAGCCTGGCCCCTAGAGACTTCTGGGACAAGAGGGAGGCTCAGCTGCAGCCGAGTGCAATGGGCAGTTTCACTTTTGAAGGTGCAGGGCAGGAGAAACTCTCCCTTTCTTTACAGGTAAATCTTCAAGCTAGTGCTGCAGTGATTATTACCAGTTTAAATTATTGTGCATTTTTTTTTAACCTCACAATAACGTAAGTTTGCCTACAATCAACAGAGGACTTGGAGCCTGTTACAGTTAATTTGTTCCTAATGCACATGGATCTCACCCTTGTGCTGAAGAAGATTAAGAGGTAAATTTTCTAGCATATTCCTTCTAGCTGCAGGTGCTTCTGTGCTTCTCTGGGCACCAATCCTTTCAGTTCAAATTGTTTGAAAAGGTGTGGTTTTTGCTATGATGAATTCCTGAATAGGAGTTCTACCCTGTATTACTGTGACTTAACATTTTTCCTCTGTGTCACATGAAAGGTGAGAGTTCAGATTTTTGCTCATCAGTCCCCCAGGAAAGTTGAGAGCCTGGTGTCTGACAGTCTGTCAGTGTCTCATAAGGAGACCCTTCATCAACAGATTCATAAGATCAAAGGGTACCTTGACCTCCCTTGTTAGGGGGAACTCAACAAAGCCAGGATCAGTCAGGGGGTCCTGCCAAGGTGTTACCCTCCGCTGGCAACTGCAAGGACTCACTTTAACAGTTTATGGAATAACACTTTTTATTAATACAAATTGTGACAGATTAATAAGCTTTGAAGGTTGTTAGTGATAGGGTCTACTGCAAAAATATGTTTTAAAGCAATCTGCTGGTACATATATTAAGCAAGTACAAGCTCTGATATGAAGCAATCTAATTAATATGCTATGGGGTAAGCACAAGCAAAAGCTCTAGTCCTAAAAGCAGCATTTAATGTGTGTAGAGCATATGTCTCACTCAAGGCATCCCTCTGGGAGAGCAGAAGATCCCAGCAGTTTCGGTGGAGGTCTTCTCCCACTTTCCCCCTACCCCAAACTTACTTTTATACTATTTTCTTTATATTTGGGTGGAGTTTGAGTGGCTCTAGTCATAAATACTTTTTATTTCTGATTGGTGTACCTAATGGGAGGAGGGTGTACTCATGGTTTGGCACCTGAGGAAGGGGTTTGACATGGTTGTTGGCTTCAGAAGCAGAACATCTTGATTCTCCCTTATCAGACAGGTACTGTACGGTCTTAGTATCACAACATTCTCCCATTCTGCTGGGATTAGAATGGAGGGGGGCCATGTAGTCTCCACTTCGTTCTGTTCTCTGAGCAGATGTTTATTGTGTTCTGGGGAGCATGTTGACCTCTGTCCATCCAGGTAGTTACAGCTGCTTTTTACCTTAAAATTCTGAATCCACTCTAGGTTTAACTCTGTCCGTCAGCCTACACTCTGCATCCCCTGTATGTTGTCCAGAAAACTCTTTAAACCAATCTGAGGTCACTGAGTTCCTCCAGACTCTCCAAGTCTGTCCAGAGCTTGAGCTGTGTCAAGGTGACTTTCTTCCATTTGGGGAAATTTTCCAGAGCTCTCTCTTCATATATCTTTAAGGCATGATCTAGTAGCATTAACAGCTCGATTCAATCATTAACAAGAAATTGCAAAAGGAAAGCAAATTGATGCAGATGACCACAAACAGTTTGGCAGATGGTGGGAAAGGAACAGCTGTGTCATCATATTTTAAGCGAGAGTCTGAGACAAAGGAAACCTGAGTCCTGGGGCAGGGGAGCAGCTCCTGGGAGTCATTGTTGTTAATTTATTTGACTTGTTGCTGGACCCCACTGCACCTGAGGTAAGCTTCCTAGACTTACTCTATATGTGCAATCCTTTTCTGAGAAAAAGGATTTTGACAGTATTCCTTTCCTCAATGTTTCTGGTAATGTGAACTGTGAACTAGCAAGTCTGTCTCTCAGGGAAGTCCACGGAAGTACAAGACCTTGGGTAAAGTCTTGTTTTAAGCCAAAATCTTGTTTTAGCTCAAGTAAAAGGACCTTTTAACTGAAGTGTTAAAATGAAACCAAAAAATCTTTTGATCATGCCCTGCAGGAAACTATAGGTTAGATTCTTGGAGATCTGATTCCAGCTCACAGACTTTTATGGGAGTTTCAGCCCAGAAAGAAGAGGGGGAGATAGATGTTTACTTTTCAGATACAGGCTCCTCAGAGTGGACCAGCTCCGTGGGCAGCAGAGGTTATCTCTAAAAAGCCAGTAGCACTCCCTCATAGCAGGAAACAAATATTTTGCTGCATTATTTGTGTGAAATTGCCCTCTCCCTTTCTTAGAGTAGGTGGGATGGGAGGGTGCTTCCACACTGCACCCTGCCCTCTCAGTATTACTGGCTGCTGTCATACATGCTCTCAGGTAGATGTTGTGGATAGAGTCTTGCAGATCTTCTTTCTTTCTCCTTTGTCTGCTTCTCTTATCCTCTGCATTTCTACAGATGATGTAATGACAGGGGCAGGACAGACAACAGGGCACCCTGACTCAGATGATGTGATGCAAATGCATGTGTCTATATACTCCTCATCTGGCCTATATTGAGGGGTTTTTTTATTAATGGAAGGGAAAAGTATCCTTTTTTATTCTGCTTTTTACTGATTTTACTGATTCATATTACATCCATCCAACACAGTTACACTGATCTTTCTAGAGATGTCATGCCTTCAAACCAGAAAGATCTGTCAGCATCTTGTCAAATTCCAGCTTTCCAAAAAATGGTAAAGTATTGAGGGCTTAAAAATATCTTATGTCCCTTGAGGAGGACGGAGACTTGCAAACTAAAGAGAACAGAGTCACTACTTAAAGAACTCACTGCTACCTATCTATAGAAGCCTCAAAATAGCTCAGCCTGGAGTACAGTTAGAGACAGAGCTTGGTAGCTCTCAATATTTATCTGTCTCCTTATTTTACAGAAGCCCAATGCTGACATAGCTTCTAGTTTATACGTTGATAATGGAAAGATATTTCCTGTGGGTCAATGAAATAGAGATGTTCTATCAAATTTTGCCAGGATTTTCTTACATTTCAGAGGTGAAAATAGGGTGGCTTTAGTGGGAAAAAAATTATTTCCAATATTTTTCTGGGATTTACTAATTTTCTGGAATCAGATCGGATGATCAAATATTGTTTTTGCTTTCTGGGGAAATGAGGGAGGCCCAGTAACCTACTATTTCCCTTTCATCAGTTACATCTAGCCATAATAAATACCCTCTTAATTTCTGTTTCTCATATAGGTTTTCTTCTTTGTGCTACACGTAATAAAATTGCAATAGTTTAATCAGTAACTAATAATTCCAGCAGCAGCTGAACAGTCTCTCATGTGTTCCCGGATGTAAGTGATCTATAATCTGTCTTTTGCTTTTTTATAGGTGCTGATATATTCCACATTCCCGAGTCTTCCAGCAGCAAATGAAAAATATGTATCTCTTCCTCCTTTCCATTTTATCTTTGCTTTTGAAAGTCAGTGGCACTAAAGATGTTGTATTTGGTCATAATAATTTCACAGAATATCAAGTGGGCAACATGAACCTGATTCTCTCTGTCCCACATGGTGGGTCAATGGAACCTAAAGACATCCCTGATCGAGAGGCTGCCTGTTGGGATGCGAAGTTATCCTCCTGTATTTTCTCTCATGACTGTCCTCCTGGAAGTATTCAAAATTATGAGAAATGCAAAGTGTCTACCAACCAAGACAGGTATACTATAGAGGTGGCTCAGACTCTTGCTGAAGAAATCAACAATCTTACTGATGGCTTCTTCCCACACATCATTATAAACCACCTACAGAGGTTCAAGATGGATGCTAACAGGGAAAAGGAAGAAGCCTCCTTTGGAATTCCCCAAGCAGAACAGGCCTGGGAGGACTATATGGGATTTTTGACCACTGCAAAATCACAGATGTCAGGGGGCCTGATTCTAGATATCCATGGACAAGCACATCCTGAAAGGTGGATAGAACTAGGTTACACACTTTCAAAATCTTCCCTTAACTCAGGTGTTTTTTCTGCATCGTGTTCCTCAATTAGCCATCTGTCCAAACAGCTAGTCAATGTGTCTTCTGAGACCTTGGTTTCAGGGAACAGAAGTTTGGGTAAATATATTGAAGAACAAAATAACAGTTATGTTTGTGTGCCTTCTCCATCCAATCCTAGCCCAAATAATGGTAGCTATTATAGTGGTGGATACATAACAAAGACTTTTGGTTCCTGTAGTTCTGGCACCATTGATGCCATTCAGCTTGAACTACCCCAGTGGGTGAGGGCAGCTGAAGAACGTCCCAGATTTTGTAAAGCACTGGCAAGGGCTGTAATGAAATTCTGGCAAACTAACTACTGCAGCCAGTACAAGCATGAATTTCTGCCATGCTGAAAGAGGTTGTGTTGTTAAGGTACCTTTCCTTAATTCAGTAATGATCTGGATTAATAGATCAACTCATTCACCTGGAACATTTAAGCCTGCAATATAATTGTGGATGCTGGTGGAAAGAAACTAACCTGCAAAGGAATACAGAGACATCGACATAGAGAAAATCCACAGCTGATACCAACAAGTCCATTAACACACAGCTTTGTACTAGATCCAGCATTGAAAAGACTACTATAAGTGGGTATATTTTGAAGTATTTCTGTGTTTAATTTCTTTCCAGTGTCATCCTCTATTCTCTAGCACATAATAAACAACTAATCCTCTAATGAATTCTGTGCAGTGCTTTAGTGGATTATCTGTTCAAAGAAATAAATGCCTCTGCTTTTCTTTTGACACTTAAGAAAGACAGCTGGATAATATTATTGTGTAAAATATTTGAGGCCTGGATTGGTTTCCATTTGGTGTTTATAAAGCCCTAGGAATTGGAACTCAAGTAAACAGTAATGCTGAGCAATGACATGCAGTCTGAACTACTCAGGTTTTGTTAGTTTAATGAATTAGGGAAAAACATCTGAGAATACAGCACTGTAAATTTGTCACAGTTTAAATAGCAAGGTAGTGACTGGATGGAAGGCTGATAAAGATAGCACATACACATCATACATTTTTGACAGTTTTCCTTACAGCACGATTCCCTCCTGATAGCCGGTCCATTGATTTAAATCAGCATAGGATTAAACACTTGATTGTTACTGGGAATAGTACTACATCATGGATGGGTTTTTCTGCACAGTGGAGAATATAGAGGCAGGAATAGCCATGAGTACAAATCAGCTCTTGGAAAACACAGGCAATTGATAAGGAAAACCAAAGGGAGCAGAAAGCAAGACTGAAAAGAGTAACGTTTGAAAATTAAGAATCTGTGAAATCGTAGCAGTGCTAAAAGTTTGGTAAAAAGAAAACAATAAGTAAATAGTTCTGAGAAGTAAATAGTCAATTAATAAACTGAAGAGAAGTGGGAGATCTGCACCTTGCAAGCACAGTAAAATAGTTTAGGTCTAACTATTAATAGGGACAATATCAAAGAGAAATTATTGCACAATGATAAAACATAACACAAAAGAGCATCAAAAGAAATGGGTAAGGAGCTCTCTGAACTTGACCTGTTCATTTTTATTCTTTGAAGACTAGGAAATTTTCAGGTAACTGGAAGAGAGCTGATGTTACTATGTTTCAAAGGGAAATAGGACTCAGAATTCCAGGAATGTTACCTTTCATACACTAACTGCCAAATCACGGGTCGGATGAAGGGAACATAAATAGTAAATGGAAGATTACACTTTATCTGGTGCCACTTGGTTTGTCAGACAAGGCTGGTTTTAGTTTTAATCACAATGTTAGTTAATGCAGTGGGCTGACCCTGGCAGACACCAAGTACTTTCCCAGTTGCTTGCGTGCTTCCTTACTTCTTCCAGTAGGACGGGGGAAGAGATTTGGAAAAGCAGAAGCGAGAAAACTCATAGGCCACAGTGAAGGCAGTTTAATAGGTGAAGCAAAGCTGCATGTCCAAGCAAAGCTGCATGTCCAAACAAAGCAAAATAAGGAATTCAACCACTACTTCCCATCAGCAGGCAGATGTTTAGCCACTTCCTGGGAAGCAGGGCCTTAGCATGCATAATGAATGGTTACTTGGGAAGACAAACACATCTTGGTTTCCTCCTCCATTCCGTGAGCTCTTATTGCTAAGCACGATGTTATATGGTATGGAATAGTTCTGGTCAGTTTAGGTCAGCTGTCCCAGCTGTGTCCCTTCCCAGTTTCTTGTGCATTCCCAGCCTACTCACTGGGTGTGGGAAAAAAAGCACCTTGTTGCTGTGCAGGCATTGCTCAGCAATAGCCAAACACCGGTCTGCTATCAACACTATTTTAGTCACAAATCCAGGACACAGCACCATACAGGCTGCTATGAAGAAAATTACATTCATTCCAGCCAGACCTAGTACAGCTGATCACAATAAGTTTAAATATATTCCCACAAGATATTTTGCTAAAGAAAAAATGCAGTTACTCCTAAATCCTATCATAGCACTACAACAAGTTGGAGGCAGGTAAAACATTGCAAATCATCGTATATTCAGCTCATGAGAAGAATGTCTTTTCAGAAAGCCAGCAGATCAAACACCATTCAGTGCCAGTGATATAGAAAACCTGCTATTTTCCTCAAAATAGTAGGTAACAATGGCACTATTTATATGGAATAATTACTCACTAAGGTGACACACTAGGCAAGGAGTGGTACCTTTAGCGAAAGGACCATCGAATATGTATTCTGTGTATGTAGTCATGTCGTGGCACTGTCCTGGAATGCTGAAATGCCAGAAAGGATTGCAGAATCATGATGGATAATTAATTGAATATGAGCTCAGCAGGCACACTTCTGGCTTAGAAGATGAACATGTTCTTTGAAAGCATAAACAAGGAACTAACAGGCAGAAACTGCAGGGTATATTAACTCGTCTTTTGAGTATATTATTCTTGTAGGATTATGAGTAAAAATGGATTTCTAAGGCAGAAACTTAGCAAAAAGATAACCACTGTGATGAAAAGTCTAAAAAGAGATAAAAAGTCTACAGAAATTTGCCTTATAGTGAGAGACTCATGAAGCTCAAACTACTGGTAACTTTGCTACCAAAAGTAATTGGGAGGCTCATAGTACCTGGGTAAAGGAGAACACTGTGTTTTGCTTTTGCCTTCAAGCTCACACAGTTGGAGATGTGATTTCTGTGTATCACACTCCCCTGATTTTCTGTTTCATAGGGGTTTTGGAGGGAACAGAACCAGAGGCTTGTGGAGCATCTGCAAGGATACTGGAGCCAGAGCCATACAGAACCTATTGGAGCTGACAGGGCTTGTTAGTTCAGACTGAGTGGCACATCAGTATAACACACTGCTTCCAGGCCTATAACTGACTCCTGAAGATGCAATGCACTTCCCCTCAGCTAAATGCCCAGGCCACTCCTTACTCTCATCTCAGACAAGTTGATTGGATCATGGAGAGCAGACATTGGCTTCATCTCTGGAAGTGTTCAGGACCAGGCTGGATGAGGCTTTAGGGAACTTCTTCCATGTCTAGTAGAAGGTGTCCCTCACCATGGCAGGGGGGTTGGAATTAGATGGTTTTTAAGGCCCCCTCCACCCCTGTATTGGGTCTGGCTGAGCTGGAGCTCATTTCCCCTCAGTAGTCCTCACAGTGCTGTGCTTTGCATCGGCAGCTAGAAGGGTGTTGACAACACATCAGTGTTTTGGCTACTGCTGAGCACAGCATCAGCACTGTAACATTCCTTCCTCAGTTGAGGGCAAGATCCTGGGAGGGGACCCAAGTAGGCCAGCTGACCCAAACTGACCAAAGAGATATTCCATATCATATGTCAGCTCAGATACAAAAGCTAAGGCAAGGAGCAGGAAGGTGGGCATTCATTGTCTCCAATGGCTGCCTGCTGAGAAACCGTCACATGTGCTGAAACCCTGCTTCTCAGGAGTGGCAGATCATTGCTGCTCATGGGAAGTAGAGAATAAACCCTGCTATCTTTCACTTTGCTTCGTTTTTGCACGTGCAAGCTTCCGCTTTGCTTTTTGCTTTAAATAAACTGCCTTATCGCAACCCCTGAGTTGTTTTCTCCACCTTACTCTCTCCCTTGTCTGGCTGGGAAGGGGAGTGATAGAGTGGCTGGGTGGACACCTGGCATCCAGCCAAGGTCAACCCACCACAACCCCAAACCATTCTGTGATTCTTTGATTAAGAAGAATAGTCTCTGGAAAGGATTTTTGATGGCTGATGAAGCTTAATCTGGCAGAAAAAACCTCAGTATGATATTCAATGTACAGAAGTTCAAACTGGACTAATTGAAGCAGAGAGGAAACCAACAGTTTTGACATGGAGAATAACTGGGAGCAAATGTGTGTTAAGACCCTTCAACTGGAAACCAAAATAGAAATACAAACAGGCATTTGGCCACAGAAGGTATTCTTGTTTTCTCTGCCTTCTGTCACCCAAAAGGTGACAGATCATACAGCCAATCTCCTTTGGCATTAAAATTCACACATCTTTCTGTCAGTGTAAACCCAATTTTATTTATTCCTGATAATTGAAGTTCCTGAAATATCTTCCCTAAGGAAGCAGATATCTTATCTGAGATCTCAAGCAAGAGCATTTTCTTTTATATAATAAATTTATATAATAAATACTACACTGGTCCTGATTAAGATCTTTGTTTCAGGGCCATAATGAATTCTTAGATGTTCAATGGGCTATCCACTGATTTCAATGGGAGTGATTTTTACATAAACCCAAGATCCCTTCCCCTTTTACCATGTGCTTTCCCAAGCAGAATGCCAGCTCATTGGGCAGCCCAGGATGAAAGATGCTGCAATATGATGCTATTAATACCCATACTAGTTAAAGATTTGGACTCTGTTTAGATGAAAATAGACTAAAGCACAAGAAGAACAAAGCTTTCTGACACTACTGTGCTATGAAAGAAGGGAGAAACTTAAGAAAGCAATAGCTTTCTTAAATGTTGTTGAGGATATCAGTTTCCAACATTTGTCAGTTCTCTTCTCATGCTATCTAAAGGCACAGGTTTAAATAAAGGATTCAGGGTCCAATCATAAAAATTGGGAAGATATTAAGTAGGTTTTAGCACATTTAATTAATTCAAAATCCACCAGAATGACATTGTTACTAGTCTTTCATTAAGTAAATACCCACTGGCAACTGCTGAAAAGGAGTATGTTTTCTGATCATTATAAAATATGTGGAGCAACTTTTAAAAATTTTGAAATTTCTTACAACAGTTAGGTATAAGCAGTTCATATTGAATTACAGTAATGATAAAATAATGCTATTAAACTTTCACCCTTATTACACACTGAATACATGAACCTTCCCTTAAACATATCTATCATGCCCTAGGCTTGGTATGTATTATATAATAATAAAATGGTGAAAATAATTGGGGTCAATTGAGTTGATTTATAGTGGTTTTTACTATTTTAAATCTGCATTGCTGAGATTTAAATTAGTTCCACAAGGGATCAGGATTTCCCCCATAAACCTGAACTGACAGGCAGTAAGCTGACCAGAAAAACTAATTTTAAAAAAATCTTATCTAAATAGATTTTTCCTACTATTACATGTTATTGCATTTCTAACACAGCATAAACTCAAAGGAATCTGAGCGGCTGAAAGTGAACTTTTTGGTTAATATGGCCATTTCATGCTGCTAACAATTCTCGTCAAGGCATGTTCTGAACAAACGAAATATTG